AGGTTGTGGTGTCTCGTGAAATTTTGGCTTTCTAGTATGTTTAATTACTCTAAGAAAATTATGTCAGCAATTTCTCAAGCAGTATTTCGAAATGTCTGCATACGGGACGAATGCAGACACCAGGGCGTTTGTAAAAGGTTTCTTTCTGCACTTGCAGCCTGACATTTGGGTGGCAAATATTCTTGTAAAGTTCAGCTTTCTGTCCAATCCGGTTCTCGAGCTAGCAGCGTAGATTTTGCAACGAGACGCAAGCATAAGTGGAACTTGACTCAGTGCCTTTGTGCCGTAGAGGACCAGATAACATTTTCTGGTAAATCTTCGGTTTTCTAGTCGGCCTAATTTCTGAAACAGAAGGGTGCCAACCGTTTCTGGGCATTCGACGTAGTCGAAAGAAGGGCACAAGCGAAAGCGAAAGCTCATTCCAATGGTTTTGATTCTCAGCTCTCAAAAATGAGTTTAATTGTCAAAAAATGTAGTTTTTGAGTTCGCATGATGCCAGAAATTATCTACATTTGAACTCTGATGTATCGGCGGCGTGATGTAGGCGCACCTGATAGCTGAATTTAAAATCATTAATTAGCATATGAACAGAGAATATCCTCACAACACTTTAACTTTCTACATTGTCCTGTTTCGAAAATCGTTTTTCAGCTAGAGGCTTTTCAACTTTTCTTCCAGGCGTTGATAAGTGAGATCTAGTTGTAAGCAAAAATTGATTTCAAATTTTCAGGGTCGCGCATGGAGTGGAGGCATTTTCAAAAAATTTCAGCTTCCTAGCTTCTCTAGTTGCTTAGTTACCAAAAACTGGATATAGACACCCCACACAGAGAACTCAAACACGTATACACACATACCTTTTGGGAGTATGCGTTTTTGCATAAAGACGCAAAAATGCACGAAAACGTATAAAAGCATTGTGTTTGCAAGCAGATGTTGAGCTTTAACTCTAAAAGCATTCACTAAAAATGATAGTTACTCTTGGCAGGGCAAGAACCAAGGAAAATTCGAAGAAAGGAGTTCTTATGGGCAAGATGAAATGAGATAATCAACTGATTTGAAGTAAAACAGCGTAAACTAAAGTTAAGCTGCATCGAGAAACATAAAATAGGATTCCACGGCAATGCGATAACGTGAATTTTAATTTCATTGAAGAATCAGTGATGGTAAAACTTGTAAAATGCATTGAGTATGTGGCACTATCTCTTTTTTTCGACAAGTCAGCAGCTGCTTCACTGGCTTGGGTCTTTTAGCCGCACGAATTTTTTACTTAGATAAAAATCCACAGAAAAAGTGATGAGAAGTTAACAAACATTAGTGGTGGTGATAAGTGTGGTCATTGTGAGCACTGTTGTGACGCCAAGACCAACACGAGCTGGCGATGCTTCGCGGTTAAGCCAGAACGATACCCAAGAAATGTTGACAATCAGCATCGAAGGAATGATTATGTTCATGAGGTAGAAGCCGAGGTTGCGACCCAGCAGTACTTCAAAATACAAACGCACATAGACACCTACAAAAAAAGCTTTCTTGCACAGTGAAGCTAATACCGACCATGTAATAACAGCCTGAATGTCTGATATTTCGCTAATGAGAAATTTTTGTCGATACGTATAAATTTTTGTCGATACGTATAAAAGGATCGTTCTGCACACAGCTGTTTGTCTTTTACTCCATTACCAATCGTTAGTCAAGCTGATATGGGTTCGTACCACGCAAATAAGGCCAACCAAAATGCGCGCAGTGCTTTCACGTCTGAAGAATGCTCAAAAATCAGCTTCAGCTAAAGGCAGTGAAGCAAGGAAACAAAGGTGGAAGTATTAGTACTCGGTGAAAGACAATAACTATAAAAAGGGGAGGAATTTCCCAAAATTTCTTACTTCACTCTCTGAGTATACCGTTCCTCTGGAAGTGGAGAAAAGCCAGTCCTTTCGTCTACTGATACTTGTGTTAGTAGAAAGGAATCCAGGGTGATATAAGAAATCACCAGATTGTGGCTATACTAAACAATGAGCACAGGCACATAAACATGTGATGCTCAAAAGCATAGCTCAGTTTTGCTATGGCCAA